AAGGAAGCAGTTAGAAGGTCTTGTTAAGGAAGCAGTCAGAAGGTCTGGTTAAGGAAGCAGTGAGAAGGTCTTGTTAAGGAAGTAGTGAGAAGGTCATGATAAGGAAGAATTAAGAAGGTTTTGTGAAAGAATCAGTAAGACAGTCTTGTTAAGGAAGCAGTAAGAAGATCTTGTTAAAGAAGCAGTAACAATGTCTTGTTAAGGAAGCAGTAAGAAGGTCTTGTTAAGGAAGCAGTGAGAAGGCCTTGTTAAGGAAGCAATGAGAAGGTCTTTAAAGGAAGGAGTGAAAAGGTCTTGTAAAAGCAGGAAGACGGTCTTGTTAAGGAAGCAGTAAGAAGGTATTGTTAAGGAAGCAGTAAGAAGGTATTATTAAGGAAGGAGTGAGATGTTCTTTAAAGGAAGCACTGTAAAGGTTTTGTTAAGGAAGCAGTAAGAAGGTCTTCTTATGGAAGCAGTGAGGTATTGTTAAGGAAGCAGTGAGAAGGTCTTGTTAATGAAGCAATAAGAAGGCATTGTTAAGGAAGCAGTGGATGATCTTGTTGAGGGAGCAGTGCGAAGGTCTGGCTAAGGAAGCAGTGATAATGTCTTGTTAAGGAAGCAGTGAGAAGGTCTTTAATGGAAGCACTGTAAAGGTCTTCTTAAGGAAGCAGTGAGAAGGTCTTGTTAAGGAAGCAGTGAGAAGGTGTTGTTAAGGAAGTAGTGAGAAGGTCATGTTCAGGAAGCAGTAAAAAGGTCTTGTTAAGGAAGTAGTAAGAAGGTCTTGTAAAAGCAGGAAGACGGTCTTGTTAAGGAAGCAGTAAGAAGGTATTGTTAAGGAAGCAGTCAGAAGGTATTATTAAGGAAGCACTGAGAAAGTCTTTAATGGAAGCACTGTAAAGGTCTTGTTAAGGAAGCAGTGAGATGGTCGTGATAAGGAAGCAGTGAGGTCTTGTTAAGGAAGCAGTGAGAAGGTCTTGTTAAGGAAGTAGTGAGAAGGTCATGGTAAGGAAGTAGTGAGAAGGTCATGTTAAGGAAGGAGTAAAAAGGTATTATTAAGGAAGCAGTGAGAAAGTCTTTAATGGAAGCACTGTAAAGGTCTTGTTAAGGAAGCAGTGAGATGGTTGTGATAAGGAAGCAGTGAGGTCTTGTTAAGGAAGCAGTGAGAAGGTCTTGTTAAGGAAGTAGTGAGAAGGTCATGTTAAGGAAGCAGTAAAAAGGTCTTGTTAAGGAAGCAGTAAGAAGGTCTTGTTAAGGAAGCAAAGAGAAGGTCTTGTTACAGGAGCAGTGAAAAGGTCTTCTTAAGGCAGCAGCGAGAAGGTCTGCCTTAGGAAGCAGTGAGGTCTGGTTAAGGAAGCAGTGAGAAGGTCTGGTTAAGGAAGCAGTGAGGTCTTGTTAAAGAAGGAGTGAGAAGGTCGTGTTAAGAAAGCTGTAAGAAGGTTTTGTTCAGGAAGCAGTAAGAAGGTTTTGTTAAGGAATCAGTAAGACAGTGTTGTTAAGGAAGCAGTAAGAATGTATTGTTAAGGAAGCAGTAAAAAGGTCTTGTTAAGGAAGCATTAAGAAGGTCTTGTAAAAGCAGGAAGACGGTCTTGTTAAGGAAGCAGTAAGAAGGTATTGTTAAGGAAGCAGTAAGAAGGTCTTGTTAAGGAAGTAGTGAGAAGGTCATGTTAAGGAAGCAGTAAAAAGGTCTTGTTAGGGGGGCAGTAATAAGGTCTTGTAAAAGCAGGAAGACGGTCTTGTTAAGGAAGCAGTAAGAAGGTATTGTTAAGGAAGCAGTGAGAAGGTATTGTTAAGGAAGTAGTGAGAAGGTCATGTTAAGGAAGTAGTGAGAAGGTCATGTTAAGGAAGCAGTAAAAAGGTCTTGTTAAGGAAGCAGTAAGAAGGTCTTGTTAAGGAAGCAATGAGAAGGTCTTGTTAAAGGAGCAGTGATAAGGTCCTGTTAAGGCAGCAGCGAGAAGCTCTGCCTTAGGAAGCAGTGATGTCTGGTTAAGGAAGCAGTGAGAAGGTCTGGTTAAGGAAGCAGTGAGGTCTTGTTAATGAAGGAGTGAGAAGGTCGTGTTAAGAAAGCTGTAAGAAGGTTTTGTTCAGGAAGCAGTAAGACAGTGTTGTTAAGGAAGCAGTAAGAATGTATTGTTAAGGAAGCAGTAAGAAGGTCTTGTTAAGGAAGCAGTCAGAGGGTCTTGTTAATGAAGCAGTAATAAGGTCTTGTTAAGGAAGCATTGAGAAGGTCTTGTTAAGGAAGCAGTAAGAAGGTATTGTTAAAGAAGGAGTAAGAAGGTTTTGTTAAGGAAGCAGTAAGAAGGTCTTGTTAAGGAAGCAGTGAGAATGTTTTGTTAAGGAATCAGTAAAAAAGGTCTTGTGATGGAAGCAGTAAGGTCTCGTTAAGGAAGCAGTAATAAGGTCTGGTTAAGGAAGCAGTGAGAAGGTCTTGTTAAGGAAGCAGTGAGGTCTTGTTAAAGAAGGAGTGAGAAGGTCGTGTTAAGAAAGCTGTAAGAAGGTTTTGTTCAGGAAGCAGTAAGAAGGTTTTGTTAAGGAATCAGTAAGACAGTGTTGTTAAGGAAGCAGTAAGAATGTATTGTTAAGGAAGCAGTAAAAAGGTCTTGTTAAGGAAGCATTAAGAAGGTCTTGTAAAAGCAGGAAGACGGTCTTGTTAAGGAAGCAGTAAGAAGGTATTGTTAAGGAAGCAGTAAGAAGGTCTTGTTAAGGAAGTAGTGAGAAGGTCATGTTAAGGAAGCAGTAAAAAGGTCTTGTTAGGGGGGCAGTAATAAGGTCTTGTAAAAGCAGGAAGACGGTCTTGTTAAGGAAGCAGTAAGAAGGTATTGTTAAGGAAGCAGTGAGAAGGTATTGTTAAGGAAGTAGTGAGAAGGTCATGTTAAGGAAGTAGTGAGAAGGTCATGTTAAGGAAGCAGTAAAAAGGTCTTGTTAAGGAAGCAGTAAGAAGGTCTTGTTAAGGAAGCAATGAGAAGGTCTTGTTAAAGGAGCAGTGATAAGGTCCTGTTAAGGCAGCAGCGAGAAGCTCTGCCTTAGGAAGCAGTGATGTCTGGTTAAGGAAGCAGTGAGAAGGTCTGGTTAAGGAAGCAGTGAGGTCTTGTTAATGAAGGAGTGAGAAGGTCGTGTTAAGAAAGCTGTAAGAAGGTTTTGTTCAGGAAGCAGTAAGACAGTGTTGTTAAGGAAGCAGTAAGAATGTATTGTTAAGGAAGCAGTAAGAAGGTCTTGTTAAGGAAGCAGTCAGAGGGTCTTGTTAATGAAGCAGTAAGAAGGTCTTGTTAAGGAAGCAGTCAGAGGGTCTTGTTAAGGAAGCAGTAATAAGGTCTTGTTAAGGAAGCATTGAGAAGGTCTTGTTAAGGAAGCAGTAAGAAGGTATTGTTAAAGAAGGAGTAAGAAGGTTTTGTTAAGGAAGCAGTAAGAAGGTCTTGTTAAGGAAGCAGTGAGAATGTTTTGTTAAGGAATCAGTAAAAAAGGTCTTGTGATGGAAGCAGTAAGGTCTCGTTAAGGAAGCAGTAATAAGGTCTGGTTAAGGAAGCAGTGAGAAGGTCTTGTTAAGAAAGCTGTAAGAAGGTATTGTTAAAGAAGCAGAAAGGTCTTGTTAAGGAAGCAGTAAAAAAAGGTCTTGTTAAGGAAGCAGTGAGGTCTTCTTAAGGAAGCAGTAATAAGGTATTGTTAAGGAAGAAGTGAGAAGGTCTTGTTTAGGAAGCAGTGAAAAGGCCTTGTTAAGGAAACATTGAGAAGGCCTTGGTAAAGAAGCAATGACAATGTCTTTAATGGAAGCACTGTAAAGGTCTTGTTAAGGAAGCAGTGAGAAGGTCTTCTTAAGGAAGCAGTAGGAAGGTCTTATTAAGGAATCAGTGAGAAGGTCTTGTTAAGGAAGCAGTGAGATGGTCGTGTTAAGGAAGCAGTGAGAAGGTATTGTTAAGGAAACAGTAAGAAGGTCTTGTTAAGGAAGCAGTAAGATGGTCTTCTTAAGGAAGCAGTAAGAAGGTTTTGTGAAGGAAGCAGTAAGAAGGTATTGTAAAAGCAGGAAGACGGTATTGTTAAGGAAGCAGTAAGAAGGTATTATTAAGGAAGCAGTGAGGTCTTTTTAAGAAAGCAGTAAGAAGGTATTGTTAAGGAAGCAGTTAGAAGGTTTTGTTAAGAAAGCAGTAAGAAGGTCTTGTTAAGGAAGCAGTGAGAAGGTATTGTTAAGGAAGCAGTAATAAGGTCTTGTGAAGAAAGCAGTAAGAAAGTCTTGTCAAGGAAGCAGTAAGAAGGTCTTGTTAAGGAAGCAATGAGAAGGTATTGTTAAGGAAGCAGTAAGAAGGTCTTGTTAAGAAAGCAGTAAGAAGGTCTTGTTAAGGAAGCAGTGAGAAGGTATTGTTAAGGAAGCAGTAATGAGGTCTTGTTAAGGAAGCAGTGAGAAGGTATTGTTAAGGAAGCAGTAAGAAGGTCTTGTTAAGGAAGCAGTAAGAAGGCATATGACAAAGTCATACTGCATTGGGTGTGCTCTTTAAAAACGGAGTGGTGATAACTTCGTCATTACGTCCGCTACAGCCTTATGATTTTCCGTTTAGAATTCGGGTGGCTTGAAACAGGGGTGTACCCATTGTACCCATGTGGGGAATCGAACCCAGGTCGGCATATTTGGTAGAGTGGAAACAATGTATCATGAGTAATGTTTCTCTTGGGGAAGTTGTGGGCATTTGATGAGGGTCTCAATGGTGACATCGGTTTGAATAAGTTTGATTTAAAATTAATTCTGTGTGTGTGTATGTGTGTGCGTGCGTGCGTGCGTGCGTGCGTGCGAGCGTGCGTGCGTGTGTGTGTGTGTGTGTGTGCGTGCGTGCGTGCGTGCGTGCGTGCGTGCGTGTGTTGCCACATTGATATACGAGGCTGAGCAGTCGGCCTAAGTATGGAGCGTATGCGTCATTTTTGTCATGTTACGTTTTATACCCCTTGAATGTAAAGGTTTTAGCATATATTTGACAAGAATAATATTTTTATTTACACAAACAATGTCGATACATTCAATCGTTTCAGGATCTAATGTACCTTTCACCAGCATCGATCCAATAATGGATGAATATCCAGGAGTCATGGAGAGAGGTAGGTTTAATTTACACTTAAAATGTTCAGCTAAATTATGTAAAAAATGACCATGCAAGCGGACTTTATTCTGTTGTACGCCATATACTACCTATCCATGGTTGTTCGTATTAACGACTATTACAAAACATTGGTCTCCAGATGACTGTAGCTGTTATGATTAACCGATTTATTTGAAATATATTTGAACGTGAAGGCGAAATCACTACAAACACATAGACATGCAACTATTACAATGCTTCTCCACAGAATGCACTTAAGGCCATCGCAAGAATGACAGGTAGATATCATAGAACACAAACTAATAGTGACGATACCAGGTGTTTCATATGCAACGGGGTGTCAAGTGTTCACCTAATAAAAATACACAGGAACACAGATAAGAAATTGCATCAGACATGGTCATCACTGATTTGGGAATGTTCCTTATGAGTAGACCTTAATTAATTGTTTTGGAAGCGTTGCTGAGCAGGTAACCCTGATCAATCAACTTTTATTTAGGACTTGTATGAAGGATTGGCTATTTGACTATATGTAAACAATATCATATAATCCTACTACCCAAACTACAATTTAACTACTTGACCACATTTCCGTGTGTTGAATTTGCCGATCCGAGCAGAAATTCGTACTCTTATGTATAAAGACAGATCAGCAAGGAGGGGATGCCTACAAACATTTGTTATGCTTATAGGAAGTCCAGCAATTCACACATCTTTTTAAAATTTTAAGATGGAATTCGTTGCTCTTTTTGACAAATTGTCCTGAAAAAGTAACAGAAGTGATAAATCTTAATGCCTCATTGATCATTAAATTAGGTGTGTCGTGTTTGTTGTGAACGATATTGATGTACAAAATTAAGTAATCAAAGCGACCACTTTGAATATTTTGTGTTGTTGATTGTTTAAATCGACATTATATTGACTCACCTTGTCTTACTTTCTGATTACATTTAGGACCATGGTTAATCTCTTGGAAAAGCATTTGGTTGTATTGTTGCTAGATCCAGCATAATGTATATCTGTAGACAGTACACGAAAGAAATGGACATGTGTTCAGGTTTTACATTCAAGCACTGTTGCAGCACTGATGCGTTGTTTTGGCCGAGTTCTTCCTGTTTACTTACTGGACTTACATATGAACATTATTTGACGTGTCGCAAACGATACATGTAATAGAAATGCTATTGGAGTCCTTGTCATTAGGGAAAACTGCATTACAATCATTTTGGGCAGACATGACTGTGAGGACAGCTGGCTGCTGCAGACTGGGTTATTAATTATTGTCTGAGAATGTTAAGATACCAACTTCCTTTTATCTAAATTGCACATCTAGAATCATATAGATGATGTAGTGGTGTATGCACCTGGTTTGTCTAAACAGTTCAAAGTAATATAAAGATCTGTACTCTTCAGTTCATACCGTGGGTTCAGACCCATCCATACACAATCATTGCAAACGACACAGTAGGTTTGAATTATCTTAACCACACAGAGTATATTCCTGTTCCTGCTTTGTGCCGTACCCTTACATTGCAGCGTTGAACTCTTTAATGCATGACACGGTACAGCAACATAGGATTATAAGCAGATTGTTTGGAATTCCTCTTACCAATCTGTAACAACCCAAGGCCCACATGGTTATAACTGAAAGGTCTCATTCAATCAGGACATGTTACAGGCTATGGCTAAACTGGTTTTCGTAATTATATTTACCGAACTGCAAAGAAACGTGGCTTCATAAAAATAATCATGAACATTTCCCATTAAAATATCAATGCATTTTATTGGTATATCGTTTTTTGACGTTAGTTTGTGTCCATATAACACAAACATGGATATAATGCGGCTCAAAATCGCAGCTCAACAAACGAACGTGTTACAAATCCCTAAACGGCACCCCAGTAGATGGCTCCAACATTGATACTCATATCCATTCATACTAGCGCTATGCCATGACTTACAAAGTATAAAAGAAACGAGGTTTTATGACGAAGGCATGCTGGCAGGGCTTTACGAATGGTTGCCAGTGCCGTTAGTGTCCTCGTGACCCCCATGTACTGATTACACTCACAAGGCCAGGTCACCAACAACATGCCGTCGCAAAGCATGGACCTATTGTCGCTCTTATATAGGTACATTCAGCCTTTTAGCATTTGTCAAAACAAAGACGAATAACTAGTATTTCATAATAAATTCATAGATTGCTACAAATATAATTACCAATCAACATGCAGTACCACCACTACATTGTTTTCACAAAACTCTTTTCATCACTGAGGACTAAACAAAATAGAATCTGGACGGATGTATAGCCGACTTAACACAGATGCTCCTCTTGCAAGATTTGTTCTGTAATCATGAAATACTCTACGTAAGCAAGCTAAGTGGTTGGTCTTGGAATGCAATATAGTGAATATAATGATATATACAACCCATTAAACGGTTAATCTCTGGCTTTGCTTCAGGTGATAGTCAGTCACATACTAAGGCTCTGTATATTTAACTGGCACAATTCTAGTTTATTAAGGATGCAACATAAACACGTCTCTTAAGGCAACACAGTTGAGGGGTAACGTTTCTCTGCTTTTAAGAAACATTGTTCTTTATCATTGTATGTACTCATTGTTGTAGTCACTAACATATATATCTATTGTTGTGTATGATATACAAACATGAATACTGAACCAAACTGAATTTAGAACACTAGTTGATAAGGTGTTCAAATGAATGTTTGGTGAGGGCTGATTATAGTGACTGATGGCTGTTTTAGCCTCATACCAATGTTCCTTCAAGGGAATACACTGCGTTGCTCTGTTAAATAATATGTGTCGTTGCTGCGTACGGATATATAAGATTACTTTGTCCACGTGTTCTGTTTACTATTTTATTCTATATTGTCTTAAAGGTATGCTGGAGGGGGAGATCCAAAAGACAGAAGCGTTGTTTGAAGAGACTGCTGTCTACCAAACAGTGAGGACACATTTAGAGAACGCTAGACACGTGACAATAACTGGTGCGTCAGGGGATGGAAAAACGTCAATAGCGCTGATGTTGGGGTCAGAATACAAGAAGAAAGGGCATGAACTATATTTTGTAAAGAACGTTTCAGAATTTAAATTGAGTTGTGTAAGGCAAGACAAAGATCAATGTTTCATATTTGATGACATATTTGGAACAGTTGGAATGTCAACAGATTCACCTCACCTCAGACAGATTTTAAATAATCTCAACTCTTACCTCGAGCGCATGGAATCTAATGTTTCTGAAACATTACAAACAAATCCAAATTATAGACATCGGTCAGATAATCCAAACAAAATTGTGGGAAACATTGTTATTATATTCACCACAAAGCTGTACAATCTTGAGCATGGGAAATTACACTTGGGAGAACATGATTATATGTTTTTCAAAGGAGATTCAGTCATTGACCTTACACAGACTGACTGTTGCTACACAAGGGACGAAAAGAAAAAGATGTTTCTAAAACATAAACACTATAACAATAACAGAACTAATTTTGATTTAGACACAATTTGTGACATTAAAGATCAACTGTTTGGCTTCCCGCTCACATGCAAACTGTTCTTCAGTTTTCCCCAATCACATGATCAATATGAAGATTTTTTTAAGACGCCTTTACCCTATCTCAGGAGAGAACTGAAATCTTTGCTCAAAGATAACAATAACAGGTCAGCTGCTCTGATCCTGATGATGCTTTGTGAAGGTAGCCTGAACCTGTGTGAGTTGCAGATGAAATCAAACAATCAAGTTCTGGAGAATCATCTTTCCACAGTTTCAAGTGTTGTACATGGTTTTAACCGGCTAGAAATTGCCACTTGTGTGAAATATTTATCGGGTACATATTTTACCAGAGGAGACATTACCAGTTTTTCACACCCATCCATCTATGATGCCTGTGCCTTTGTCTATTGCAAACGCAATTGTGCTCTTGTATTGCAGCACTGCAGCATACAATTCCTATATGAACGTGTTCAGGCCCAAACAGTACCTGCATGCGAGACTGATGAGGATAGGCATGTCATCTATGTATCAGATGCCTACAATGACATCATTGCTTCAAGACTGGCTGGGGCTGTGAGGGAGGGGAACTACCGGATGTCTATCATGCATCCTATTTTGGAAAGACATGATATAGTGGATAAGATCCTTGCTGAACTCAAACCCACCCGGACTGATACATCAGTGACAGATGAACATGGTAACAACATATTCTATTATGCCTGCTACTCAGGAAATGTGTACCTTGTATGTAAACTTATTCCTTTTTGTGACATCAACAGTAAAGGAAACGGTGGTTTGACGCCAACAATGATAGCTGTGATGCGAGGGCTGGAGGATGTGTTTCACATTCTTATGTCAAAGGGAGCTGACATCACACTGACCAATAAAGACAATAACAACTGTCTTCACCTAGCATGTCAGGGAGGAAAACAGCCGTTAGTAGAATATCTACTGCCAAAGACTGACATAAACATACGAGGAAATATGGGACGGACACCACTAATGAATGTCGCTTGGAGTGGAAAGAAAGATGTGTTTGACTTTCTTGTGTCAAAGGGAGCTGACATCACACTGACTGATGACGAAAATAACACCATTCTTCATCTGGCATGCGAAGGTGGAAATAGGCCATTAGTAGAATATCTACTGCCAAAGACTGACATAAACATAAGAGGAAGTATGGGATGGACACCAGTAATGTATGCAGCTTCGAGAGGAAAGAAAGATGTGTTTGACTTTCTTGTGTCAAAGGGAGCTGACATCACACTGACTGAAGACAACAATGACAACATTCTTCATCTGGCATGTCGTGGAGGAAATAAGCCGTTAGTAGAATATCTACTGGCAAAGACTGACATAAACATAAAGGGGAATATGGGATTGACACCACTAATGCATGCAGCTTCGAGAGGAAAGAAAGAAGTGTTTGACTTTCTTGTGTCAAAGGGAGCTGACATCACACTGACTGATAACAACAATAACAACAATATTCATCTGGCATGTTTGGGAGGAAATAAACCGTTAGTAGAATATCTACTGCCAAAGACTGACATAAACATAAGAGGAAGTATGGGATGGACACCAGTAATGTATGCAGCTGCGAGAGGAAAGAAAGATGTGTTTGACTTTCTTGTGTCACAGGGAGCTGACATCACACTGACTGATGACAACAATGACAACATTCTTCATCTTGCATGTTTTGTAGGAAATAAACCGTTAGTAGAATATCTACTGAGAAAGACTGACATAAACATAAGAGGAGAAATGGGATGGACACCAGTAATGAAAGCAGCTTGGAGTGGAAATAAAGATGTGTTTGACTTTCTTGTGTCACAGGGAGCTGACATCACACTGACTGATGACAACAATAACAACATTCTTCATATGGTATGCGAAGGTGGAAATAAACCGTTAGTAGAATATCTACTGCCAAAGATTGACATAAACATAAGAGGAAATAAGGGATGGACACCACTAATGAATGCAGCTTTGAGTGGAAAGAAAGAAATCTTTGACTTTCTTGTGTCAAAGGGAGCTGACATCACACTGACTGGTGACGACAATCACAACATTCTTCATCTGGCATGTTGGGGAGGAAATAAGCCCGTAGTAGAATATCTACTGCCAAAGACTGACATAAACATAAGGGGAGAAATGGGATGGACACCAGTAATGACAGCAGCTTTGAGAGGAAAGAAAGATGTGTTTGACTTTCTTGTGTCACAGGGAGCTGACATCACACTGACTGATGACAACAATAACAACATTCTTCATATGGCATGCGAAGGTGGAAATAAGCCGTTAGTAGAATATCTACTGCCAAAGACTGACATAAACATAAGAGGAAATAAGGGATGGACACCACTAATGAATGCAGCTTTGAGTGGAAAGAAAGAAATCTTTGACTTTCTTGTGTCAAAGGGAGCTGACATCACACTGACTGGTGACGACAATCACAACATTCTTCAACTTGCATGTCGTGGAGGAAATAAGCCGTTGATAGAATATCTACTGCAAAACACTGACATAAACATAAGGGGAGAAATGGGATGGACACCAGTAATGACAGCAGCTTTAAGAGGAAAGAAAGATGTGTTTGACTTTCTTGTGTCACAGGGAGCTGACATCACACTGACTGATGACAACAATAACAACATTCTTCATATGGCATGCGAAGGTGGAAATAAGCCGTTAGTAGAATATCTACTGCCAAAGACTGACATAAACATAAGAGGAAATAAGGGATGGACACCACTAATGAATGCAGCTTTGAGAGGAAAGAAAGAAATCTTTGACTTTCTTGTGTCAAAGGGAGCTGACATCACACTGACTGGTGACGACAATTACAACATTCTTCATCTGGCATGTCGTGGAGGAAATAAGCCGTTGGTAGAATATCTACTGCCAAAGACTGACATAAACATAAGAGGAGAAATGGGATGGACACCAGTAATGAATGCAGTTTTGATTGGAAAGAAAGAAGTGTTTGACTTTCTTGTGTCACAGGGAGCTGACATCACACTGACTGATGACAACAATAACAACATTCTTCATCTGGCATGCGAAGTTGGAAATAAGCCGTTAGTAGAATATCTACTGCCAATGACTGACATAAACATAAGAGGAGAAATGGGATGGACACCAGTAATGACTGCTGCTTTGATTGGAAAGAAAGAAGTGTTTGACTTTCTTGTGTCAGAGGGAGCTGACATCACACTCACTGATGACAACAATAACAACATTCTTCATATGGCATGCGAAGGTGGAAATAAGTCCTTAGTAGAATATCTACTGCCTATGTTTGACGTCAACTGTCTCGGGAAGAGAAGGTGGACACCAATAATGAAAGGAGCTTACAGTGGGAAAAAGGATACATTTGAACTGCTTCTCTGCAAGGGAGCTAACCCATCACTCACTGGTGATGACAATGATACTTTACTCCATGCAGCCAGTGAAGGTGGAAACATTGACATTGTTAGACATGTTATCGGCGACTTTGACATCAACACACGAGGTTGGAATGGTCACACGCCACTGATGCTAGCTGTGTGTGGAGGTCACACTGATGTAGTTGACTTCCTGGTGGACCATGGTGCTGACGTCAACATGGTGGACAATGGTCGAGATAGTCTCCTCCATTTGGCTTGTGAGGCAGGAAACTTGAAGATGGTGAAGCATGTCATGCCATATTCTGATATTAACCTGAGAGATAACTTTGGTTGGACACCGTTGGCAATGGCAGCTATGGAGGGAAACTATGCTGTTTTTAAATATCTTAAAGGCCTAGGAGCAGATCTGACACTGGCAGACAGCGCAGGAGATGATGTGTATACTCTGGCCCTCCAGGGAGGATGCAGGGGAATCATCAAGGCATTAGGACAAGAGGAACATTCGGGCAAGAGCATCACACCATGGAATCAACTGATGAAGTCACTTGTGAAATCACAAATGTTGTACTTAGAGACATATTCTCAACAAAGTCCTGAACTTGTTCAGACAGACCGATTTGGGGACAGTTTATTACATCTGGCCTGTCGAGGAGGCAACAGACAGTGTGTGGAGTATCTGCTCCCATCCTATGACATCAATGTCCGAGGTCGGTATAACTGGACACCGGTGATGATGGCAGCTGTGTGTGGACACCAGGATGTCTTCCAGCTCCTGGTGTCTCACAAGGCAGATCTGTCTCTGGTCTCAAACACAGGAGAGGGTAGATTTATATGTTATGAACGTTGTCCTGAGTGAATCAACAGTTTCACTGAGTTGTTTTTACCCTCAACAGTCATTCATAGACAATACCTAGCTGTATGTAAGAGTTCACCTACATGTATGTGTACTAACGGGGAAAAGTAACCGTGCTTCGTATAAAGTGGTGTAGATGCTATGCTTTTGAAAATAACAGCACACTATTAAGTCATCCGTATGATCAATGTTTTATCACGACAAATTCATAGACAAAATCCATACCTCGTAAAACGAGACAGAGCGACACGCCCTTAACAGGATCCAGACAGAGCGACACGCCCTTAACAGGATCCACATAAATATAATTTGCGTTCACTTTTTCTACATATATATTAGAGACAGTATCAGATTTGTTATGTCTCGAGTGAATCACTGAGTTATTTTTACCCTTAACAGTCATTCATGGACAATACCTAGCTGTAAGTAAGAGTTGTCACCTACATGTATGTGTACTAACGGGGAAAAGTAGCTGTGCTTCATATAAAGTGGTGTAGATGCTATGCTATTGAAAATAACAGCACACTATTAAGTCATCCGCCTGATCAATGTTTTATCATGACAAATTCATTGACAAAACCAATACCTGGTAACACGAGACAGAGCGACACGCCCTCAACAGAATCCACATAAATATAATTTGCGTTGATGCAGAGGAGGCAGCGGCGGCGCGTTAAAGACACCCGATGATTTAAAACAACCTGGGGAATGCTATCCTAAATGTCAACCAAAGATTGGCCCAACTAAGCTGGGCCCAATGTTGCAGAGGTCTGCAGAAACAGGCGGCCATGACATTGTCAATAGTATACCGTCTCCAAACGAATGGTACAATACGTGCAATATCTGGACCGGCACTATACTCCTGCAACGTGGCGTTACGTCCCTGTATTTGCACAAAGGGTAGAGCATAATGATGTCGTTCCGGTAGCGTACGCCGTTCCAATTGCCAGTAACACAGATGAGTTGCGTCCTCCCATGAGTTGTGGTGCGTCGACATCCCATTAAACTTGCACACCTAAACTAACGATATTGAGCAATGCAAGCGTCGCTGACACGTTCATCTGGACGCATGTAGACCCGTGTACGACCATTACAGAAACCTAGACTCACTTGTGAACAGTATATTCTCCTCACGGAAGTTCGGAAGCAACATTGGGCGCATCGCTGGGACGTCAGGAGCGGATGTTGTGCTCCCTCAACCGGTTGGGAATGGTTTGAGCTGTTAATCTGGCAGTTTGGTATCTATTACGTGGATGCACCAACCGAATACGGCTGCCTTGCTGACGTAAGGTCACGCGTGAACGACCTTCATTTACGGATAATAGCATTGTGTGCTGTTCACATTTGAAAACAGCAATAGTGAAGCCCATTTCTGATGTCCCCCGCCGTGATATTGCTTGTATATTGCTGTAAGTGGCGTAAAACCATACTCACTCACTCACTCAAAAACAAAAACACTAACTTGTGTATCAGTCCTCGGCCCAACAAACACGAACTCATTCAAAGTGTGTGCACGTGTAAACTGTGCATTATTTAATTTCAGAATAAATATATATTTATTTAACTTTATGTGAAGCACAGTCACTTCTTTTCCGTTGGTATATTTGTTTGGCCATAATAATTGCTTTGTTTACTTTGTCGCATATAGTTCAATACAATATCAACATAAAGTAGCTGCAATGGAATTGTATTCCTAAATGAATAACAAGTTCTGCTGTGTACATAACTGTTTGAGACAGTTAATAACATGGAAGGTCGTCCTACATTTAGTCGCCAAGACAAAAGACAAGTGATGCATTGCAGAAACAAGTGTCTCATGCTGTCGTCGGGTAAAAAGAATACAACGCATGTGCTAGTAAAATTACAGGCCAAACACTGAACACTGAATACCATCGTAGATTCTAACAAGGACTACTCTTGTAAAAATCGGATGCTTAATGCTTCTGGATGAACTAGTTGTGTTATTGTCATACCCTCTATATTTTGGAAGTAGTAGTAGAATTGAATTACGCTAGTGCCAGTGGATTGTACATATTGTACATAGTTTGAACACTTTCAAGTTGTCTGTGTTTGTGTCCGAGGTCGGTGTGACAGGACACCGGTGATGATGGCGGCTGTGTGTGGCCATGATGATGTCTTCCAGCTATGTGTGGAGTATCTGCTCCCATCTTTTGACATCATCGTCCGAGGTCGGTGTGACTGGACACCGGTGATGCTGGCGGCTGTGTGTGGCCATGATGATGTCTTCCAGCTGTGTGTGGAGTATCTGCTCCCATCCTTTGACATCAACGTCCGAGGTCGGTGTGACTGGACACCGGTGATGATGGCGGCTGTGTGTGGCCATGCTGATATCTTCCAGCTACTGGCGTCTCACAAGGAAGATCCGTCTCTAGTCCAACACAGGAGAATATTTCCTACTGGGGCTGTAGTGACGATATTGTCAAATACAAAGGCGATTAAGCATAGCGTGCGAAGATGTTTTGATAGTGTTGATTAAATATCTGAACAAGAACCTTATTTTCAAAAATCATTTGTTTTATATTAGGATGCAAAACAATATGGATTGTGCACGGCTTCCTATGTGAGAAGCATTACATATGTATAATATATTTAAAACAAAACATGGGAAGATAATTCCCGTGTGACTTGTGAGTGAGTGAGTGAGTTTGGTTTTACGCCGCTTTTAGCAATATTCCAGCAATATCACGGCGGGCCCAGAAATGGGCTTCACACATTGTACCCATGTCGGGATTCGAACCCGGGTTTTCGGCGTGACGAGCGAACGATTTAACCACTAGGCTACCCGACCGCCCCGTGTGACTTGTGACTGGACACCAGCGATGAATGCAGCAGCGATAAGGCTGTTTTTTTATAAAATGTGTACTTATGTAAAAACTATAGATTTTGACAAATTATGTCTATAACCTTTATGTATTGCCGGAAAAAAAAGTTCAACGTTGTCTAATTGGGTGTATATACTATGACGCTTAATATGAATTATAATGACACATATAAGCATTACACGTGACACTTGTATAACGGAAGCAGCTGTATTGCATTGACACATAATATAACAAAAGCATTACACGTGGCACCTGTATAACAGAAGCAGCTGTATCACAAAGTGTGAAATACAGCTTCCGTGGAAGAACCCATGTTCAAGGTACCAGGGCCACCACCAGACAGTTTACTCATTCTTGATGGTGAATACCCAGCATTATGTACACCCACGAAACAAACAGTCGTACCTGATACATTATAGGGCCTTCCTAACATGATTTATACTATACTTTATATTTACTTTACATGATTTTGTCATTTGCTGTATACACAATGTTACTGAATTGTTACCACTGGTCAATTGTATTTATCCTTTCACTATATGTTCTACCAATACTTTCATAAACACAGCACATGATACTTGTAATGGGATACTTGCAATGTAAATCATCTTTATTTGGCGTCTGTATGACATGGAGTTAATTGCCCAGCACGCCACACAACCATATGATGTATACCAGAAGCAAGTGTATCAGATTATATTATTCTGAAAAAAAGCTTCTGCGCTAGAATCAAATAGTAATACCAAGCCGTGTATAGAAACGCACTGTGCCTAACATAATGTGTAATCGTGTATTGACTATGTACATAAGATTTGAATTGTATATCAAAATGTGTCTCCTGGAGGTTAGATTGCCTAACATGGTAACTGACCCTGTTTCTGTGCATAACAAGGACGGATTTCTTGCGATTTATTGACAGTTTAAGAATTGTAGGTTGTATTACGTTCTATTTTATTTATATTTTGCTTTATCATCACTTTCCCTCCTTGGTGGTGGTGCTCGTATTTAAAACTGAATGAAGATTCAAAATATTTGCTACTTTCCACATTTAGATTTGGTCATAGACAAATAACTACTCAACCTCGTCCCATTTGTTCATTGTTTTAAGTTTGTGGGACGCATCACAAGAAGTTGTATTACTTATTAACTCCAATGTCATTATCAAAATCAACAAATAAATATAGTAGAAAGCTACTTTGCTCCATATATAAGCATTCAAAATCGAGCAAGGAGCCGGATGTTACAAACACATTATCTGTACCATATTGTGTTACGGTATTCTAGGTATTTGTAAGTAAATCATGTTCTTCTCTAAGGATGTTTTTATTTCATGTGAATTTGCCACATACTGTATATATTGTAATGTTATTGAACTGCTACCAGATGCTATCTGAAAATTGTATTCATTATTTCATTATATCTTTTATTGTATTGCGACCCCAAACACTCTTAATGATATGGTTAATTGAATGATAAGCTATGCTGTGTAAATAACCTAATGTGGTTCCTTTTTTTGACAAATTTGATGTATCCAAGAAACAAATATATCAAAGCACTTTCCTCTGTATATATTCTGTCCTTGAATCCAGTATTCATACTGTTACTGATTTTCACAGAAAACTCATCACGGGTCTTTTATCGGATCTAGTTTGTTGTTGTGAAAAGCATGTTTTAATGTCATAGTTCTACAGCTTTCAAGACTTCCTATCATGTGCATTTTATATCCCTGTTCGGAAAATGTGGAATACGTTATCTCATTTAAACTGTGAACTGTTTTTGTTTGTTGTATTGTTGGTGTAACTTGTGTTTAAAACAGAATGGAGAATCAACATGTTTACTGATTTTTCAATTTAGATTTGATGATGAAACATAGCTACTCAACCTCGTCCCTTTTGTATGTGACATATGACAAGAAATGTTATTAACTGAACCAGAACATGCAACTAGTCTTAAACCCGTTCTTCCCGATAAACAACAATAGTAATAAGTACAGCGTCCTTATTTTATTTTATGTGATTTTGCCACATACTGTATATACTGCAATGTCATTTAACTATCACCAGATGTTATTTGGAAATTGTGTTAACTATTTCATAATACTTTCTTCTATCTCTTCCCACAACATACTAAATTATACTTGTTATTGTATAGTAACCTTTT